TTTGCCTTGGGGGGCTGCAGGCACACCCCCGTGTTGGTCCCCCCAACAGAGGCAGGCAGGGCTACATTTACACAACTCCAGTTAAAGACATTTTATTCCTTCTGCGTGTTACACCGAGTGTTTAAGAAAATACAGGATCCATTTTGACATTCATACATTTTTACAGGGGAAAAATAGGTTTCTCTACGAGGGTGGTTATTGAGCTTGGGCACTGCCAGGCTGCCTTCAGCAGGGCCTCACCCTTCTGGTGCCAGGCCAACCCCTCTGCTCCCGAGCATCCCTGCCCCAGTGCCACAGCCCAGGCTGAGTGCAGAGCTCAGGGATTGCCTCAAGCTAAAACAACACAGTGCCCAGCATTTCCATTTCCACTTTCCAATAGCTCCTACACTGGATACTGCAAAGGAAGAGCTGGGGACAGGGCTTGACCAGACTGCGCACATGAATAGCTAAGAGACCCACGTTAGTGTGTGTGACTACCTGTAACAGGGAAACAGGTTAATCCCATTTGCTAGAAACCTACAGGGAATATAAATAAGGGTTCCCCACACTCGTGCACGGTCACAAACAGCTACTGGACACGAGGCTGACGCTGCCTCTGAGCGCTGCCACACGGGGGGTGGGCAGCGAGGCAGAGCTGCGACAAAGCAAAACCCACAGGCTTCCCGAGCAGAGCGTGTCTGCCCACACGGGGCCACGCTGCCAGAGAGAGGGCAAGCAGCAGCCTTTGCTTGGCAGGACACGTCTTTGAGCTCCCCAGGGCAGCAGCACCCACGTGGTCGTCACTTGAGGCTCAAGCAGGGTGCAAGAACCTCAGTTAAACAGCACTACAGAAAGCAGATCGAAAAAGCAGCTGCTGGGGTAAGACCTGCTGGCCCTGGGTGTGCTGCTGCCCAGAGGCAACGCTGCGGGCCAGGAGGCGGGGGAAGGCTCACTACACGAGGCATCAGACAGCGAGCAGGCTGCTCCCCCTTGGCAGGGCAGCAGCACATTGGCACTACAGCAGCAAACAGAACAGATGTTACGGAAGCTTCTTCCAAGCACCAGCAGACTCCACTTGGTCACTGCAGGGAGAGATGCACATGGAAAAGAAGTGATGTTCTAAGGCAAAGGCCTTTCTCTTCGGGACCTCGGGACACCAGCGCAGCCAAACGCCCCCACTGCCACATCCCTCACGCTCGCTGCCCTTCCCACCAACACCAGCTGCCCGAGCACCGCCAGCGCCCGCCGTGCTCCAGCCTCCCCGAGCCCCAGCCCCGGGGCATTCCGGGCCCTTTCTGCCGCTGGCCTTGCTAAAGGGCTGGTGAACACTGTCCCAACCTTAGGCCTCGCAGGGAGGGGTACAAGGTATGAGCTGTACTGGAAGGGAATGGGGAGGAAGTGTCAACAAGAGACGTCATTGATCCAAGTGGTTCAGGCTCCAGTCCGAGCTGAGGGGCGGTTAGCTGGTACCAGGGGAGATTTCTGGGAACTCCTTATAAATCTCCAGGATGATGAGTTTGTCCATCTGGCACTGCTGGTCCTCCTCCTCCTCGCCCAGGATGCGCTGCAGGATGCCCTGCAGGTCGGAGAGGCGGTGCTGGTGCTGCAGATAGGCCGTGGAGCGGATGATGGCGTGCATCAGAGACAGATACTCCATCCTCAGCTGCCAAGTGGGAGGGGAGACAAAACACAGAGCACAATGAAGGGTTTAAAGTGAGATAAACATGCACAGCAGCTGCTGCTGCTCCACCAGCCAGGGAGTGACTCCAGAGGCACCTGCTTTTCCTTACTGTGGAAAACCCTGCTTTCCCCCAGCAGCCTGGTGCTGCTCCTCACCTGCTCTCAGACATGTGCACATCCCCTGTCTCTTGCATACAGAGATCCCTCTTACTTCCAACTACTCACAGAGGGTCCCTGTTCCCAAAGGTCCCTGAAGAAGGGTGCAGACCACCAGAAGCCTGGCAGATCTTTCCTCAAGCATGTGTCTCCACTGCTGTGTGCTGGGCAGGATAACACCACCCCTTCCTCCTCAGCCCCCAAGACTGACCTGAGCACCCAGAAGCAGCATGCCCACCCCAGGACCCCGCTCCTGCCTGCCCCAGATGGCCCCACAGAGGACCAGGAGAAGTGCCATTGCCTTGGGACTGAGCTCCCCGCCCCAGTGCCTGGGGTTACTGCGAGCACCTTGTCTCCTGGGGAGAGATCAGCGATCTGCCGCACCAGGATGTCGATCAGCACCATCATGTCTGTGTGGTAGAAGATGCTGGCAGTGTCCTTGCTGGCAAAGATGTCCTGTAGGAACTTCAGCACCGAGTGCGGGGGCTGAGTCTGATGCTTGAAGATACAAACCGGATCATCTGGGGGAGGCAGAGGGTCCGTGCTGAGCCTAGGGCTCCCACTGCCCCTCGGAGCAGCCCCATCCCTGCCCTGGATCCCAGAGCCCGGAGAGGGCCTGGCCCTGGCCCTGGTGCCCACGGTGCCTCGTGTGGGCAGAGCTCAGCACCTCGCACAGAGATGCCCAGCAGGAGGGATGGCAGCTCTGCAGGGTACCGAGTCCAGAGCAAACCCATCAGCATCAATCACTGCTGGTGCTTCACTCACCACCCCAGGTGAGAGTTCATTAGCACGTTGCCCTCAGCTCAACAGCTCCCACCCCTTTTCCCCCTGGTTCACTAGATCTGGTCCAATGACCCCTCTGAAATGCCCATCAGAGCCTGTACCAGACACGAGCTTTCCCCACAGGGACCAGGCTAGTATCATCCCAGAAGCAAGAAACTCCCAAGTTTAAGTGAGCCACCACATCCTGTTCTCTTCCAAAACACATTCCTGCAGACCCCAAGAGGGTGTCTGGACACTGCAGCCCCCCAGCAGTTGTCAGGAAGGCAGGCAAAGGAGAAGCATCTTCATTAGGTTGTGGACCCCCCTTTCTTCTCCCAGCCCCTCGCAGTAAGGTGATCCCTGCAGGGAATCTGGCAGGGAAAGGGCTAAATAAAGGCTTTAGGAGGAGGCCAGACAGAACAGCACTGAGGTGCTCGCTGCCCTTAAGCTGATAAGAGTGTGGACAGTGATTTGCAAGCATCGCAGGATGAGTTTTTACCATCAAATCAACAAAATGAATCTCAGGCAGCAAAGTCCCTGTGCTCCAGAAGGTATTAGAAAGCACAAGAGTGGTGTGCAGCACAGGCAGAACTGCCTGGCATCACTTCTCCTGCAGAGATCTCCAGCTTTCCAACAATCTGCTTTTCTGAAGCTCTTCACGTTCCATGGGTTTCACTCTACCTGGAGCAGACACAAAGCCAACCCACTTTGACCCTGTGCCAAGCAATTCCAACATGGGAAGTGCTGCTCTAAGCAGCAATTCAGGGGGCAAAACCTCCCTCTGGATCTGTCCCCCACAGCAGGCGATTGCCAGCACAGGCAGGTCTGTGTGCCAGCACCAGTGGGTCCTGTCTGTCCAAGCACAGGAGGGCTCAGGACCAGCTTTGCTCCCAGACAAGAGCTCACCCATGTTGTAGCCATCCACAACACTTGATGGGCTGATCCGACCCAGGCGCGCACGGACCTGCCAGCCCAGAGCCTCTCCTCTTGCGTCATGTGCCACCAGCATCACTTGATCTCTTGTGCAGCTCCACCCTCAGCAGCACAGGCTGTCACCTCACAAACACGTCCTGCGCCTGAGCCCACAGCTCCTCAGCTCCCTGCATCCCCAGCGCAGCCACCCTTAGTGAGCACAGGGCTCCCCGAGCCTCCATCAGCTGCACCCCGCCACTGTGCCCCAAACACTCACCTCCTCTGTTCAGCAGCAGCAGCAGCTTTTCTGTGAAGGTCTTGACATTCAAGTGCTTGCCTATTGTAGTCATGATCACACTGTGTTCTGGAACTAAGGAAGAAACCTGTTCAGCTCATCCCTTTGTTTCCTGAGGGCCACAGTAATAAAAATAAATAGTGGAGGGCTCCTGTTCTGCATCAGTGCTCTGGGGAGCTTTGGGGAGCCACAGTCTGTCAGGGGTACGAGAACTCTCAGCCCCACAATGTGGCTGAGCAGGGAGAGAAAAGGTGACAAACCTGGAAGTAATGCATGAAACCCTTTTGACTTTGTGTTTTCTGTGTGCATCTCATTCACATCTCTGATGCTCTTTAGCATCAATTTTAATGAAGCGCAACTCAAAGTAAAAGGGAAATCACCAGACATGTCCGTGCTGCTTTATCCTCCCCTCTCTCCATGAAGCCAAGGATAAAGCGATGCAGCAGAACAGGAGGAAGTCATTAACTAACTACAACTGGAGCAACAGGAGATTGTGGGTTAAGGAGTGGCCCCTCTCAGCAGGACCTAGAACTACTCCAACCTTCCAATAACAGGCTTCAAAACCCGCTTCTAAAGTTCTCATGGAGCTCAGCAGGGGATGGAGGACACAGAACCAGGGCAACCAGGAGAAAACACGGCTCAGGCCAACATTGAAGAGCCTGGCCCCAGCACATGGGCATTCAGTGAGCTGCAAGATGGGTAAAGCAGAGGGTTTGTCAAGACCTTTAGACAGTGTATTGCCTGAGCCTGGGGGAGCTGGACTAGTTATCAGTGCCATGGAGACCCAGTAAGATTCTCCCTCCCCATTCTTCACACCCTGATTCCAGAGCACTGAAATCCTTCCAGGGCAGAGCAGCAGCAACTGACCTGGAATGTGGAGGTTGAAGGCCAGCAGGACGTTGACAAATAAGTCAGGCAGCTGGTCGGTGGTGTCCGAGGGCAGCCCGTCCTCAATCACATCCAGCAGGAACTGCACAAACTGAGAGTTGAGATGTTCTGCGCAAGGACAAAGACACATTTACAGCACAGAGAACACAAACCAAGCAACAGGGGAGCATGCAGGCCACTTCTCTGTGCTTTTAGGCTCAAAACCCACCAATGGAGTGCCAGCATCAGCATCTGGGGAACAAACAACCTGCAAGTGGACAATGCAGACTGCTGAAGTGTCTTTGTGTGAGGCACAAGTGGCTCTACTGCCCCCAGGGCAGGGGAACACTGAGATTTGGTACCCCCCTGGCAGCATTTTGGAGTTGATAAAACACCAAATCCTGCTCTAGCTGCTGCTGCAGCATCACTGCTGCCAGTGAAGGCACTGGGAGGAAGAGATTTGTATTCTTGACCACTGGTTTCATCCATCTGTTTTAAAAAAGTAGTCATCTAGATCATTAGTACTAACCCAGTTTTCAATGTTGCTATTAGGAAGGCTCAGGAGCTTATGCAAATAAGTCCTGCAGGAAATAACTGCCAGGGTTACATGAGGAGAGGAACGCAGGAGGTGTGGAGGCTCATGCCTCAGACTCTACTGCACCAGCTTAAAACTTGTATGTATATACTGGGGTGTGAGGGTGAAGCTGCTGAGGAGATGCTTTATGAAGATCTCTACTGCACTTCCAGGAGAAAGGAGCCCAGATTCCCAGATACGGGAACAGCACGGCCTGGGGAAGAACCAGGCACGTCTTCCTGGCTGAGGGCTGGAATGAAGGAACACAGGAGGAAACAGGCAGGTCTGGCACGTTGGTGCTTTATTGACCACAACACCCTTAATCATCTCTGCTTTCCCTGAGACACACAGGACTGCACTGTCCTGTTAAGAGGGAGACCAGGAAGAGGCTGCATTACACAGCTGACAGCTTTAGTGGGTGTTCATGGAGTAATGTGGGCTGAGCCTCAGCAGCAGAATAAACGTCTCAGACAGGAGGTGTGTGTTTTCACACAGGGCAGGGATAAAACAAGATGCCACTTAGTCACAGTGACGGGCAAATCTGCCTCCTTTGCAGGACGGCATCAGTCCTCCTGCTCTGACCCAGGTCTGTGCTGTCATCTCTGGAAATGTGGCACGTCAGCCCAGAGTTTCAGCAGCCAGGATCTACTGATGAAGAGCAGACCCAATCCTTGCCCTCCTGCTGCTGGCTTTCCCCTAGCTGTCCTCTCCTTGGCCACCAGGTAAGGTCCCTTGCCTGTGTCTGCCGGCAGCTCCCACATCAGCTCTGCCGTGCCACCCAGCCCTAAGCATAAGCTGCTCTTACCGTAGTGATGATAGGGCAGGGGTTCCCCCATTGAGAACATCATGGCCAGCACCAGTGCAGAGTAGCACATCTTCTGATGATCTACAAGGTAAAGGTCCTGCATTAGTGAGTTCTCCTGAGGACAAAACACAGTTTTCATCCTGAGGAGTCACACAGTTAACACAGACATTCAGCAGTGGTCGGACTGCTCCTCACCTCTGTGCTTACCAAGCTGTAAGGGCATTTTGCCCCTGCTTAAGCACACCCCCCAAGCCACACATTTCCAAATCAACTGCAAAATAATCACAACAAGAATTCTCTTTCATTTCCCCTCCACTTAAGAGGATCTGGGCAAACTTGACGAGAATAATTAAAGCCCTCCCCTGCAGAGTCTCAGGACACATCCCATAGTTATGCAATTGCTGAACCCAGAAAAAGCATCCATCTGGCCACTGTGAAACAGTGCCTGTTCCCACCAACGCCACCCCCAGCCAGCCCCGCTGCCTGTCACCCCCCCGCACGGCTCTATCTGCTGCCTCAGCTCTGCCTGCAGGTACAAGAGGTCTCTGGGGATACAGATCACTGCTCGCAGCGGGGCCACGTGTGTAGCTCCAGCGCTGACACATCCCACAGCCTCCTGGTCCAGCAGTTTTCCCTGGCAGCAGCTCTCCATGAATGCTCCACAGAAGCACAGCCAGTGCCCTTCCTGAATCTGAACTAACAGATATATCTCAATAGATATTTATAGGAGAAAAACCAAAATCGTGGACCAGGATCTGTGTCATCATCAAATGTCGCCTCCAGCCAGTTCACCAAGTCCAAAGATGGAAGGAAAGGGAGTATCATTTTTACAAAGTAGGTTACCACACATACTGGCTAAAGAAAGTTCAGCTTCATCTGCCAGCAGGAGCCCAGGGGCACTTGCTACAAGGAATCTGAGGGTGTATTTATTAAAAACTGACCAAATCCACTTTTTATTAAAGGAGAAAAAAAGTCTGTTCGATGTATGATGCTTCTCCCAACAGTTCTGCTTCCCACACGTGCTGGTTCCCAAGGTCTGTGCACAGACTGATCCATCTCTAAGCACCCGCACGCTGCAGTCTGGTTGTAACTGCTCAGGCTGATGCCTTCACTGCCACCACCTTGCTCCTGGACTTGGCCAAAGGACATGCAGCACTTGGCAGCTCTCAGATCCACTGTTAGCACGGGGTGGAAATGGTAGTAACTGGTTCCAGCCTTGTGCCCCAGGAGAGTCAGCTCTGTGAGCAAAGCCTCTACAAACACAGGCCACATACACTGTGTCAGAGCTCCACAAGATGTCCGAGTTTTCAAATAACAAATACTTTGAGTAAAAATAAATCATTTGGGGCTTAACCAGAGATACTACAGCATTAACAAGATTAAGAGTTTGTAGAAGAACACTCTAGACCATGTGGCAGCAAAGGGAAGCTGGAAACTGCTGTTTACTCTTCGTAAACAGAGAGGGAGGATATTCAGTGACTGAAATATAACTCACACTTACATAAGAAGCTCTCAGCTATGAAGCGTCAGCGATGCCAAAGCTCACTGCAGCAGAAAAAGAATCTGACAAACTGTTTAGCACATGATTTCTTCATTCTTCCCTCCATGGCTTCAGGAGCTGGGTATCAGCGGCAGGATGCTGCAGCAGGCAGACACAGGGACCTGCTGCTCCTGCTCCTAGCGAGGCTTGCATGAACAAAACATTTTCTGTCATCACATCAGGAGCAGTGAAATAATGATCTGAGAACCAGAATACAGTGATATATATGCAGTTGTAGCAAACAGGGAGGAAGAGATGGGAGGGGCAGGGTAGTTCTCCACATCCTTGGTCCATCTGCCATGAGCCAATGTCCATTCATCTCAGCTGGCAGCAGACTCCACAGCTAGATGGCAAATCTTGTCCTATTTGCCTAAGGATGCCAAAGAAAGGATGCTGAAACCAGCCAGAAAGCAGAACTCAAGACAAATCCAAATTAACCTGGTGTACTCGCTCAGCAGAGCTTTTGGAGTGTCCCAGATGCAGCAAGATACATCCAAGATGCCCCACACAGAAGAACAGAGCAATTGCCAGGCAAAGTACAGCTTTTTTTATCCCTTCCAGAGCAGCCCCAGTGGCTGCAAGAAAGTATATGGCATTAGTATGACTCTGCTAATGACAGACTCATGAGCATCACTCAAGTGGCGACACTTCAAGAGGCTGTGGAGGGCAGGAGAGATGCAGCTCTCTGCTCCCCAGCCTGCACTCCCGAAGCCTGCTGAGGTACTGGTGAGAAAGCTGCTATTACCTATGAGAGGTATTTCTCAGAGCCCTTCAAAGACCTTGCTCCCACCTCTAACCACAGCAGTGCACAATCCAGGCCCTGGGAGCAGACACGATGGTCTGCAGCTGAAGCAAGCAGAGCCCAGCAGCTGACTTGCACGTACCCTGAGCTGCAGCCTGCACTCCCGAAGCCTGCTGAGGTACTGGTGAGAAAGCTGCTATTACCTATGAGAGGTATTTCTCAGAGCCCTTCAAAGACCTTGCTCCCACCTCTAACCACAGCAGTGCACAATCCAGGCCCTGGGAGCAGACACGATGGTCTGCAGCTGAAGCAAGCAGAGCCCAGCAGCTGACTTGCACGTACCCTGAGCTGCAGCACAGGAGAAAGTCACAGTTCCAGACTGGATTATCTGTTTTGTTTGGAATCATCCTGGCTAATTCTGCCTCACTGTGGCTTATTGTAAGCTCCTCTAACCCTGACAGATGTGCAGAGCAGCACAGCAGAGGGAAGGGCTGTCCAGGAGCAATAGACCCAAGCATCTGGCTGCAGAAGTGGCCAGCAGCCAGCACGCCTGCACCAGTCCCAGGGCAAGGTGCCTCCTCATCAAAGGCACCAGCATCCAGCACAGAGCTGCTGCCGTGGCTGTTCTTCAGTAAGAAGCCAGGAGGGATCACAGAGCTGCTGCAGCCAGCTCAGCGCTCCCCGGCTGCTGAGTGCTGGCACCGACTGCTCTGGCCCCTGCCACCGCAGAAGGGATTAGCGATTCCACAGCATGTCACGGTTCAGCTGCTATTCCCCAGGTTTTAGTACCAAAATAAGCTCAAGTCATTCTGGATTCAAGGTCATGTTTTCACACTTGCCATTTGCTGGCAGGACATGGAGCACTAAGCACCCGGGCCGTAGGAGGAAACTACTAATGCCCTAAAACACCTCTAAAAGACAAAGACATTTGGGTTGAGGATGGTTCCTTTGCTGCTTTGAAGGCCAAGAGGGCTGGAGGACATACAGATGACATCTGTGCAAACATAAGCTCAGCACAGGCAGGCAGCACAGGGTCAGGACACCAGTTTGGGAGGCTCCTGTAGCCAAAGGCTGTCTGTCAGCAGAGGGAGAGCAGCTTTTCACCCTTCAACTGCACTGCCCGTGTGTTACAGCAAGGAGGGAAAGAATCCGCCACATTGAGATGAAGCTCAGGGAAGAAGAGCTGCTGCAGGGCTGCAGGATGGCAGCTCAAAGGACACAGCAGAGCCACTTTTCACTGCAATGCTCTTGAGGTCTCCAAAGCAGAGCTAACACTTGCTGGGAGATAGCCCTGCTTCAGCCGTAAGTGCTATGTGCAGCAGTCACCCAGGTCAGAGCTCACTGCTCCATCACACCAAGAGCCTGAGCTTGCTGTGCCATCCGGGAGGACACAGCCCTGGACAGCACAGAGACCAGGCAGGAGCCCTGCTGCACCAGGGAGCACAGCAGGGTGCTGAGGCCTGTTTGAGCATGGTGCAGAGCAAACTCACCCAGAGACAATCTTTATGAATTAGTGATGGATGCATGATAAAGCTTACTTTTGGCAGTGCTAAATCAGGAGTAATGTCACCACAGAAGCACAGTCATAGACCCATAACCAAGTATTACCTGCTGCTAGGGCAGTAAAACCTCAGCCTAGAGAAGCAGCTTCTCATGCATAACCAGATAAAACACGAACCTGGCGATAAGCTCACTGCATAGAACTGATCAGCAGCAGCAGCACCACAAAGGGAAAGCACTGGTGCAGTGGTCCCAGTCCTGCACCACACAACCAGTGCTTCACCCTGCCCCCAAACACTCCCCATATTTGACATCCCCCCCTTGGTGCTGTGTTGGAGAGAGAGTCCTTTCTTTTAACCAGCACATATCTTACTCACAAGCAAGAAACACTGCAAAGATCTGGTGTAAAGTGCTGAGAAAAGCTGCCAAAAAGAAGCTGCAGAGATTTTCCTTGAGATGTGCAAGAGTCTCTTGTCAGCAGCATGAAACAAAACTTGAGCAACTCAAAATGTGCTTTAAGACATCCACAAGATCATCATTGATGGCACGTTCAAGAGCCAGAGGGCCTTGCACCACTGGACTGAAGCATCCCCTCCCATGCATTCTCCACTTAGAGGTGTAGGAACCCAAATAACTTTAAACCAGACACCCTTCTCCCCCAAGCACTAGCACTTAGAGCAGTCAGGCTGCAAGGGGCCACCAGTGCTGCTGGAGGTCACCTAACGACAGACACGTTCCTGGGGAGAGGGGTACAGCAGCCCTGGCTCACCCTGTGTGTGAGTCTGCATGTCCCGGGCCAGCTCCATGGGCAGCACGGAGTTCACGAGCGTCGAGATGACCGCAGCGTCCAGGTTGCACATGGCTCCAAAGCACTTCAGCAGCAGCAGCCGCAGCGGCACCCTGTGCTCCTGCAGAGGCAATTACCGGATGAAACAATGTCCCAGATGACAGCTCACACTAGGGCAGAGACACAACTGGCTGGAAGTTCCCATTGTTGGGAAGCCACAGACCCTCCCAGGGGGACAGTGAACCCAGAAGCTGTATAAGCTTTTACCAGTAGTGCCAGATGAAAGCTAAACAACACAAGGCTTAATGTGCTGTAGCTGGGGACCTAGGGACATGATGGGGACAAGTTTCTAACCCCTGCAGAGTCCTACAACAGCGCATTCCAGGAAGCGAGGGGCAAAGGAAAACCACACAGGCATTGAAGGCAAAACTTCCATTTCTTCCGCCGAATATTGATTTCCTTCCTCACTCCCAAGGCTTCTACTCACAACCTACTTTCCTAAGCAAAGCTATTTACTAATGCACAGGAGGGCATCAATTAAAAGAGAAGCAGTCACAGCCTGTCAGCTTTCCCAGGGCATCCTCAGAAATCCCTCCTCTGGATACTAGTGATGCCAATCCTGTCCCTCTATGGAGCTAATGAGAGCAGCAAACTTCACCTTCCACAGTGCAGCCACTGCTGCGAAGTCTCTGGCACCCTCTGCTCTCCCACACAACCTGCACGCACAGCCCTGACATCAGCCAGCACACAGGTGATGTGCTGCAACTCCTGCTGGTTCACAGAACCGCCCTGTCCAGGGGGAGGTCTCACATCTACGTAGCACAGCAAGCCTGCTCTCCTGCCCCTGCAGGGCAATCCCAGGGGAGATTTGATGTGCTCTGCCACCTTACCATCTGGTAATAGGCCACAAGGGACAGGACGGACTCAAACTCATTCTTCTTGCACATTTTCTTGCACACTTCTGGGTCTGCATCTGTCTGGAAGCAGAGGGCACATCAAGCAGCAAGGACGTGGAGGGAGGCCAGCTGCTTTCACATCTCAGTAGCCCAGCCATCTCCCACAGGAACTGAAGGCAGAGCACAAAGATAGCTCAGGAACCTCCACCCTGCAGACTCTGCATCAAAGTGAATTCCTGAGAAGTGTCTCTGCCACACAGCACATCTTGGGCTGAACATCTAAAAAACCCATGACCTGAGCAGCACTTGATGAGTGTGATGTGCAGTTATAGGGCAGCTCTGTCACTGTTGCCATCCTGAGTATTGTGCATCTCCTCCCAGCCCTAAATTATGAGGAAAGGTCATACAAGATCCCCCTCTACCTTGCCCTGCAGGCCCACAGCAAGGCAACACATGTTGAGTGACAGAGACTGGCATTTATTACACCAAAAACCAGCTGTTCTGCTTATGCCAGAGCTGGGAAGGGATACACAATAGGTGCCACCGCAAACCCCACACCAGCACATGTAACACAGACCGTGGAGCTGCACTGAGTGGCAGCTCCCGTATCACTATGTTCCTTGTACACAGATGGGCAGAAGCAGACTTCCAGGGTTTCTATGGGGGGTTGGGATCTTTGGGAGGTGAGGGTTTATATTCTCCCATGACAGATAAATACCATGGCTGCCATGAGAGCAGCTCTAGAACACCCTTCAGAACAGCTTGGTACGGTAGCGTGGAAAGCAGCTCAGGAGCTCTGCACACCCCACACAGGAAGGCAGGGCCTCACATCAGTGGCAAAGGATCCACCAGAAACCTGTGGCCCCTGAAACAGCAGATCCGATGGCAACACAGGGCAAAGGAGGACAGAAAAAAGAACTTCACTGGGACTGTCTGCTCTGCCCTGCCTATGGAGAGGGAGAATTGCTCACCAGGATGCGGAGCAGCTCCTCCAGGTAGCAGCAGATGACGTTCTCGTCCTCGTAGAGCGCCCAGCTGCGCTGCTGAGCATCGTCCTTGTGCCTGGCCAGGTCTGCAAAGATCACCTCCAGGCGCTGCTCATCGTGGCAGATCTGGCCCGAGGGCAGCCCTGCGCTCAGGTTCTGCACGACAGCAAAGCGCTGGTTAGTGGGGTCGGGACCACGGGTGCCCGTTCCCTCTCCTCTTTGTCTCAGCACTGGCAGCTGACCTCATTCAGTCAGGAGCTGGCAGCAGAAACCCAGCAAGTTTAAGACACGTGCTACTGCAGCTCTCGTACTCCTGGGGCTCTACCCACCTCCTTCCCTTGCACAGCTAATGCAGTGAATGAATCTAAATAGGTGCCAGAACTGGTACACAGTCAGAAAGTCTTTAAATCCAAGCTGTCACCATCCTGCTGGAGCATTAGCTGTCTTCTGAGCATGTTAAAGAACCCAAGAAACCTCACTCAAAGCTACACCCCTTTCTTCTTATTGCATTTAGCAACCTAGGGCTTTTGGACTAGCATTTTAATGACCATTTTAACTATCACTCCATTCAGCCTCTCATCACTAATTTACTTCCTCCAATCCTTCATCTGCAGCCTTTACGACTCCACTGAGCACCAAGTTCCTAATGGACTCGGATGAGATCAATCCGTTAACAAGCTCTTCAGCCCGGCTGGTGTAACTACACCACGCACCACCTCAGGGCACCCTCAGAACCACTCTCAGGCCCCCACCACAGGGGTCAGGTCTCTGCTTATTAAACATCTTGGCAGCTGCTGGAACGTGCAGCCTCATCATATGGCTGTTTCCAGGAATCTGCTGATGAATCCAGAAGCAGGAGGAGGTATTGGTATTTCTAATGATGCCTCTTCACGTTATGTTGCTGCTTCAAACAGCTCTCTCCTCCCAGTCCAGCAGAACAAACTGCTGCAGGGGTTTTGTTCCTTCTTCAAACACTCTGGGAGCCTCATTGCACCCACACTGCTCTGCAGTGGCCGCACCAGCCACACAAGCCCCGCCACTATCCTACCAAGCTCTTCCTCTCCTTTCTTCTTCACTCCACCAGCCACATGGTGGATCACATGGTGTGATGGGTACACACATGCACCAGCAGTTTTCCTCCAGATGAGCCCAGACCTACCTCAGGTAAACCATACAGCAGCTTAGACACTTTTCAAGGGGGCTTCCCAGGGAGTCCTCCCTTCTCTGGGCAGCAAACTGCTCCCACCACAGCACAGCACCAGGCATAAAAACCAGGTGGATAATGCTGCTCTTGGGTCACTAAACCTGGTTTTCTTGGCAGTATGTTTATACCCATCTAGCACCTCCCCTTTCCTTTGGGATCTCACCACACTTCCCATTCCAGACATCAAGAGTGCTCACTGAGCTCATCACACCTTCTGCCTGGTGCCAGGAGGTGACCTGCAGCAGCCGCTGGC